TATCACCTATTTCAACCACCTGATGTCAAGGAAATAATTTAATATAAAGAAGCATTACTCAGAATCACAGACCTTCAAAGAAAATTTCCCCATAAACTTCAAAATATTTTCCATGCATTTTCATGAAGTATCAGCAATTCGACTAAATTTTTTTAAGTAAATTTTAAAAAATGGATTAATTCTAATAATTTAAACCTATTCTTCTCTAGAATGTATTATTTTTAGATGACTGAATTGTATAGTTCGGTTAATTAAATAACTATCTGCACATCTCCTTGCTTTACCATTTCTGTTAATTTAAAAAATACTCATTACTGATTTTTTTCCTTCTATTTCTAGAGCTCTAAAATGAGGAATCAAATTTACCTCATCGGAGAATAATAAAAATTAAATTTTTGAAATTATATGACTGTCAGAAATAGAATAAACTCAAAATTTAATATAACAATTTTGTATATTAAAATATCAAACTTTAAACATACAACCACAGAAGTTAAAAAGCTATAGGAAAATTTGGAGATTTTTGTATCGCAACTTCACATCTAATAAAAGAAAACAGTCTATTATTCTCATTTAAAAATTTATCAATTCAACCATTTACCAAATACCTACAATTGTCAATCATTCTTCTCAGTTTCAAGGATAAAAAGATGCATGTATTATTTCACTGCCCTCAAAGAGTTTAAATTTTAATGGAGGAGATAGACATAAGCAAATAATGTAACATGATATGATAAAAGAAAAATAAAGATATATTCCAAATAATTTCAGGTCAAAGAAGCAGCTTTTCTGGAGAGAAACAAACAGATATCAGAAAATGCACTGCAAAAGAGGTGACATTTAGCTGGGGCCAGAAGAAACAAGGAATTCATTGAGAAAGACATTCCAGAAAAAAAGAACAGACATGTGAAAATCATAAGATCTATTCAAGAAAAAGTAAGTTTAGTGCAAAAAGTGAGTCATTAGAAAGAGAACGAAATTTGGACTTTATGCTAAATGATAACCCTCTACAAGTAATGAAGATTAGGAGGTGAGATGTACAAAAGGAGGCACAATTCAAAGAAAAGTGACAATGGAAACCAGAAAAGAAAGAACTGACAGAACTTTCTCATTATGCCGAAAGGCCAAAATCAAAGATGACTAATATTTTCAACTTGAATGGGTGTGCCACTAAGGGAACAAGATAAACCAGAAGAAGAAACAGGTCTTTTGGAACAGAGAAAAATCAGAGGAAAAGTAACAGGAAAAGAATGTAGAGGGCAAAATTCTAGGTATATTCTAATTTCTGATTCCAGTAGGAACATACAGTATGACTAGATTTTAAGAATGGATGCAGGAGATAAACAATTGGAAGTTATCTTTAAAGAGACAGTAATTTCATCCTTTCCTCCCTCACTCTTGTTACAACATATCCAAGACCATAATGATGAAAGCCACATACTAAAAATAGGAGCAGGAAACTAGAGAGCCTGATTCCTTACTTTAGAGAAGCTATATAAACCCTACAATTGTCCACCCCGAAATTCCTTGTTTATTTTTCCTCACATAACATCCCTTTACTTGTTTAAGATACTGCTGTCATGATTTTTGTTACTGACAGTGATATTCATTTCTACCCAACGCAGTCAGTGGTCAGCATAGTTTTGTCTGTTCTTCTCTTGTCACTCTCTATATTCTCCCCTGGGAGATCTCATCCACTTCCCTAGCTTGAAAAACCATCTAGATCTATGAAAAACCAAATCTAGATCTTCACTTTACTCAAAAAAATGCTGAATGGATATGATAAAACAAGACTATTTAACACCTTAAACTTCTGCTATCACAGAAAGTAATAATGGCATAAAACAATATTCTAATCCTATGGAAAGCTAAGTAATATAAAGAGTCAGCCCTTCATATGCATACTGCAGTAAGTTGTATAATCCTACTATATGTAACAGTTTCAGTGAACAAAATAAGAAAGAAAAAAGGGATATTGTTAGGCAAGTTAAAGAAAAAAAAGAGACACATGGAGTTAGAGAAGGATCAAAACCCAAACACATAAAAGTAGGTAAGTTATATATTTTTCACAAACATCTCATTAAATAATTCAGAATAAATCTATTTTAATGTATATTTTCATTGTATAAAATATACATTATATAAAATTTATCATTGTAACAATTTTTAAGTGTACAGTTCAGTGGCATTAGAAACATTCACACTGCTGTGCAAACATCATCACTATCCGTCTCCAGAACTTTTTCATCATCCCACAGTGAAACTCTGTACCCATTATGCAATATTTCCCATTCATCTCTCCCCTCAGCCCCTGGCAACCACCATTCTGCTTTCTATTGCTATGAGCCTGACTATTCTGGGCACCTGAAATAAGTGGAATCACACAGCATTTGTCCTTCTGTGACTAGCTTATTTCATTTAGCATAATGCCCTTCAGTTCATTTATATTATATCTTGTGTCAGAATTTTCTTCCTTTTTAAGGTTAAATAATATTCTATTATATGTATATACCACATTTTGTCTATCCATGCACCACCCATCAATAGATACTTGGTTTGTTTCTACCTTTTGGCTATTGCAAATAATGTTGCTAGGAACATGGATATACAAATATCTGTTTGAGTCCCTACTTTCAATTCTTTTGTGTATATGACCAGAAATGGAGTTGCTGGACCAAACAGTAATTCTACGTTTACTTTTTGAGGAATAGTTACACCGTTTTCCATAGGAGCTGTTCAATTTTACATTCCCACAAAAGATGCACAAAGATTCCAATTTCTCCACATTCACACCAACACCTGTTTTCTGGTTTCTGGTTTGTTTTTCATCTGTTTGGTTGATAACAGTGACTCCAATGGGTCTGAAATGGTAAGTTGTTTTTTTTATTTTTGATTTACATTTCCCTAATGATTAGTGATATTGAGCATCTTTTCATGTGCTTATTGGCCATTCATATATCTTTACATAAATGTATGTTCAAGTCTTTTGCCCATTTTTGAACTGGATAGTTTGTATTCTGGCTGCTGAGTTTTAAGAGTTCCTTATATATTCTGGATATTGATTAAATATATCTATTTTAAGAGTTCTTTATATATTCTGGATATTGATTAAATATATCTATTTTATAACCTATTGTATTAGGTTAATTTAACCTAAAAAACAAGTTATAGGTTAAATTACTTTGAATGGCCTGTTTATGATTAGGAGCAGTCCAAAAACAATCTTTTCAAATATCAATTGCAAAATCGAATTATTTTAAAGTCAACAATCTCTCCACAAACAATTAAATGCTCTTGTTTCTACAAAGCTTACATGGGTACTCAAAAATGTTTTAAAAATTCATGATTGATAAAACATTAACAAGTAACCAAAATTCACATAATTCATATGATATACTCAAACATATGGATACACTTGTCAGAGTTTCAGAGTCACCACAATGAACACCTTCAGGCAATACCATTCATATTTCAATCTATGTAATGCTATGCCATGGAGCACAGGGGAGCACCCTTATATACACAGACTATCCTGGAAATGGTGGTCCCTGGAGTTGTGTAACACTGCAGCTCAATGGCATTCGAGTAGTAAAAGACGTATGTTTAATTTTTAATATTACTATCTCATGTAATTTTTTAAATTAAAAAGGCAGAGAATGTAATAATAAAAGTGCACCTTTAGTATTCAATGACTCCCTAAACTCTAAATTGACTTATTCATTCTTAACCAATTATTCATTTCTATTATTCACTATTATTGATTTCTATTTATTTCTATTATTCATTATTATTCATTTCTATTTTTCCAAATGATAATTTTACTGCTTAAGCATATAAAAAGGTTGTCTTTAACTTTCCAGCACCCAATCTTCCTTTTTCTGATAACATTTCAATTTCTCATTAGGCAACAACCTCTCCCCAGTTACAGGTAGCTCTTAGAAAAAAAGAATGCAAAATTGATAATGTATTAAGAAATAAAGAGCTCTATCAACTAGAACATAAATGTGCTTATAAAAAGACACATAAAAATTCATCTTATTAAATTTGGGGAAACAAAATATCTCTACCTATAAGAAACTGTACATATAAAAATCATTACAGTTAGTAGAATAGAAATGGAAAGAAAAAATAGAGCTGTGAGTCGTTTAAACATAAAGGAAACGCAACATAAAATAGGAAATTTTCTCATTAATTTTTTCCAATGACACAAAATACCTACTCTCACTTAGATTTAGAGTTTATGTAAAAATATATCTATATCACTGTAATTACTACACACTTGTGGCTTATAACAAAAATTTGTTTTCTCACTGTTCTGGAGGCCAGAAATCTGAAATCACTTTCACTAGGCTGAATCAAGGTGTTGATAGAGTCTAAGAAAGACTCTAGAAGCCTCTTCTAGATTCTCGTGGCTGCCAGAATTCCTTGGCTTATGGCTCTATCACTGCAATCTCTTCCTTTGTAGCCACTCTACCTTCTCCTCTTCTGTGTCCCTCTGCCTCTCTTTTTACAAGGACATTTGTGATTACATTTAGGGGCCACCCAGATATTCCAGAATAATCTCCTCATCTCAAGACCCTTAACTTAATCATTTTTGCACAAGTCTTTGCTCTAACATTTAAAGGTTCCAAAGATTTGATATAGATATATGGCCCTTTCATAGGGCCATTTTCAGCATACCACAATGTCATAAGTCATTTCAATAACTATAATATTGCTAAAAAAAAAAAACTAAGAATATGGAAGTTATATTCATCTTATATTCTCAAATTAAATTTTTTCACAGTGTTTTCTACTCATTAGTACCAATACAAAAAGCTCCAAATATGTCCTATTTAAAATAAAAAGGGAACATTAAGACTCTAGTAAGAAAATGTCTAGTAAGTGTAGTCTAAAGGAGTTATTCACTTTAAATTTAAAACACTATGCTTTGAAACCAAAGAGCTATTATCATAACAATCCATTTTATTACAAATTTAAAAATTAATACAAGCCTTTACCTCCAGATCCTAACTGCTTGTAGAATCTATATTCCAAATGTAGCTGTGGTGCTCTGGATTTCATGGGCTCCTAGTAAAAAACAAACACAATAACAAGTATTTAAGTTATTAAAAGATCACTAGACCCCAATTCCAAATGTTATACATCTTGGGGTCAAGTCTTATAAAATGTAATATACTATTAGACACCTTTCTCTCTCTAACGTTAGAGCCATATAAAAATCAACTTTATTTTTTTTAAATGTATAATGAATGTACATAATTTTTGATGTCATAATGTACATAAGATTAAGTGGCTATTAGATCAAGCATTAGGGAAATTTCTATGATTGATTCTTTGACCTTGAAGAAAAGTAAACTCCAAACATTCATAACTAGAGGAATGGTGACCCTTACTTTATTTCTCCTGTCCCCAGGAATTCAGCTCTGAATTCCTGTGTATTTCTTCTGTAAAGATTCTAGGTTAAAGTGAAGTCATAGAAGAGTAAGAAAGAACAAATATGGGTATAACAAAAATTTTGACAATAGCAACAATACATTTAAATTTTTAGTTGGGATATAGCTTACAATAAAACAGTGTATAAACATTAGATCCATGACCTTTGTTAACTGTATATAACCGTGTAACCACCACCTCCAAAAAACCTTTTGAACATTTTTATCATCTTTCTTTCAGAGGTAACTACTTTTTGACGTCTATCACCTATGGATTAGTTTTGTCTGTTATTCGATTTCATGTAAATGACATTATACAGTATCTGTTTTATATGTACGTGTCTCACTTTTTTCATTCAATATAATGTTTTTGAGTTTCATATAGAGATACACATACACACAGACAACTAAAACAAAAGCAACAAAGATTTTAGATATAAGATATGTGTGAAATATCTGTAAGAAACAGCAAACTAAAAAGGGTAACAGGAAATTTGAACAAGATCCATCAAGAAAGTAAAACAAGGTAACAAAACTTAAACATAAAACCAACAGAACTTCAAGAAATTTAAAAAAAACAACAACAACAACTACTCTGTAACAATCGAAATTTAAAACTCAATTTGTCAGCAGATTAACACAACAGAAAGAATTTGGACACTGGAAGATAGATAGAAAAATGTCTATGGAATTAGGAAATTATGTAGGATGCATCTACATAAGTTATACAGAATGTGTCATAAAGAAAGAAAAAAGGAAAATACAGAAAAAAAGATTAGAGATCTGGACAATACCATGTGAAGAAGGTCTAATATGCATTTGATAAGACTCTCGGGAGGAAAGGAGACAGAAAAGTGAGCAGAAGCAATAAATGAAAAAAATAATCGCTATAACCATTCAGGAATTGTTGAAAGATAACAAACCACAGATTCATGAAGAATATGAATCCCAAACAGAATAACTAAGAAGAAATTTATACCAGCACATATCATAATGAAACTATGACCAATGACAAAAACTTCATATAAGGAAATAGTAAAATCCCCAGTGGAACGTTTATAATCATAAAGATTATAAAAGAAAACAATCAGCTGAGTTCTTGAGAAACAGGATACTTAAAAGCACAGACACTGAAACAAACTGTACTGGGTTTGAATCCTGAATCCACTATATTTACTAGCTGTGTGACTCTGACACTTTCTAAAGTCTGTGTGACTTTCTATATTTTTCAGTTGCCTCAATTATAAAAGAGATAAAAAAAACTTTATCTTTCTTATATATATATATTTACATGTTACATAATATATTAAATAATACATATAAATACATATGTAATAAATAATTAAGGGGATAGTGATATGGCACAAAGATAAACTAAAAAGATATATATCTCATACACATACATATATACATATGTATATATGTGACTTAAAACAGTGCCTTCCACATAGTGAGTGCTATATTAACTATAATTTTTCAGTTAACTATGTAAAAGTACCTAACCATAAGATGTAATTAAATAGATAACTTATTTAATCACTAATATTCCCTAGGTAAAAACAGAAACCCAGCTCTTAGTTGAGTCAATTCAACTTCATTCTAGTACTTTACTAGCAATAAAATTTTATTATACACTATATAACAAAAGTTACCTCACCACAGGTCGACACTTTCATTATTCATGAAATACAGGTTGTTATATAGGTGTAAATAAGATGTGAGGATGGTGGCTGAGTTCATTAACAAATTATCCTGAAACAAAGTATCAATCTGAACTAGGATAATGTTAAATAAAGATAAAAACCTTTATAAGAGATAGCAGAGGTGAAAGTAGTCACTAAAATCTGCTCTCTGAACACCATTATCAAATAATGAATGCCTTTATTTATACCAAAGTACTAAAATCAGAGCAATGAAGGTATACAGACATTAACATTTTCAAATGATTCTTTTAATGCAGGTTCTGAACAAAATTATGTTATCTGTTATAAACAGTTGCAATAGAAACAAATAAAAAATATGTAAGAGTAAAGACATACACACTTGGTAAACAAAGTACTAAACTATGATCCAACAGTTTATGTGAAAAATTTTCTGTCCTGTCAATATATTTTTTGGATGAATATGAGGCAAACATAACTATATACTATACTTCAATCAAAAATTACCAGACATAGATCCAAAAATACTCCCAGTTCCCCAAAGAACACCAAATAACCACAATTATTATATGTGGTGCTGATCACTGTACTTTAAAAAGGTAAACAGAGAAAGAATGTCAAAAAAAAAAGAAGAAAAATAATTAAGGAGATAGTGATATAGCATGAAGATACACTAAAAAGATGATATATGTATGTATATGCAAGAAGACTGACATAATAAATGTTTACTAAGGCATCAATGGTATCAACAGAGTAAACAAGTTCCAAATCTGAAAATAACAGGACTAAGGGTCACCACTTAATGACTGAAACAGACAAGGAAAAGTCAGCCTAGTGCAGTGGCTCCTGTTTTATTTATAATGATTAAGGCATTCTGAGCCTGGAATAGTAAGATATCTCATTATAAATTAGAAATTAACTCTTCTTAAGTATTACTGAGAGTTTGATTGATTGTGTGTAGTGATTATTACGACTCTACCTCTGATTAACAGTGATGATCTTAATGAGATGACCTAACCTGATTTTCTGTCATAAACCCAAAGACCAGGTAAATGCCACTCCCAAACCCAGTATCAGCCCGCCAGACTTCTGGTGGCACCACAAACCCACTGTGCATCTTATTTGCCAGTGAAAATAAATAGCATTAGTTGCAGTGAAATATGGTCTGTACTTACAAAGATACTTAAAAGTTAGTATGGTTTTCTAGCTCATCTCAAATGTTTTTCTTTCTCCCACTCGCCTCTTCCTGTAATCATCTCTCTTTATATAGTAATCTCACATTACCCTAATACAGTAGCAATATTGGCAGGGATAAGATTGAGAATGGCAGGCAGACTGGGAAAATCAAAACTCAGGGAAACTTGGCTGGTAAACCAGATAGAAAATTTGTGCCAGAAGAAAGTTATGTCTTAGAAAAATTCACAGATCTCAACTCTTCCAAAAGAAACTTATCTTACAGCTGTCATACCGGGCACATTTAGGACTTCAGAACAGTCCCACAGAATTTGC